AGTCATCGATTGAAACAAGACTTTTTGTTTGAATGCAGTTAGGTGCTGCTGCGAAGACAGCAAACGTTATTTTTACCAAAGCAGTCCACTGAATTATCTTGTATACAAAGGAGAAAATCAGATTGGATGCCATACTCGATTAACTCTTTTCCCTCTTTAGTTCCCTTGCAAAGAGTAAGATAGAGTATCTCTTATCGAGAACCAAGGGATAGCCAAAAAAAGTTACTTAGATAGGTTATCATTCTTGTCAAACAGCCACGATGAAATCTTGCTTTTGCTGAGTCAGTTATCAGCCAACTAACCGAGTTTTGCACAAGAAAAAAGTAATGATATTTACAACAAAACATGAATGTGCATTTGAAACACTATCGTCAACATCTGCAAGACTGAAACAAATCCTTAGCCTTCCGCAGAAAGAAGGTCAAGATCGTAAATTGAATATCACAATAAATATGCAGTATTATACGATCCAGTTTTCCATCACTAACACGAACTTTCCCATCAAAAAATGTGTTTATTGTTTGCATCATTAACTCTAATTGAAGATAATACATTAGCCCACAGATGATCAAGGTGTTAGTGATGACTTTACTGGCACTTGCCGCCGCCCAAATTACACGTCGAGGGATACTCAGAGGCGCTTTTTGATTTGTTATCTCATGACATGATAAGAGTATATCACAGATAGAGACAAGAGTAGCTTTCGGCAACACTCGCGTGGAGACACGCAGTTTTTCCTGCCCCACGCGCGAAACCTATCTACAGCGCAGATCCAATTGCTTTGTCTATTGATATGTACATCCCTAGTAAGTAGTAACGATAGTTGAACAGAGTGAAGTAGAATTTGGTCTGAAATCATATGCGTGACTCGGAATAACAAGAGTTTGATTTTCGACCGAACTTGCAAAATACGAAGTTCAATTACCACTTTGTTGCATCTTTTTTGAAATCGCAAAATTCAGTCGCTCAAGACATTTTTTCTTAGTCAGTGCAAATGTTGAACTGATCCGGTATAATAAGCTGGTTTGTAAAAAGTTGCAAATCTGACTTACATCTTCCTGCAGTTTGATTGATTTCCTTAAGTCAGCCTTCCGATTGCAGGCCATATAGATTAACACTGCTATCGAATTTGATGAAGCTTCATTCACTTCAATGAATTTTATGAGAAAATTACCAAATAGAGTAAAATTCTACCACTGGTCGGAGACAGTAGGGATGATTGGTATATGCCGAAGAAGGTGAGGGAATATTACTGGCTAACTATTTATCGCTTGGGGGGGAGGGTTGGAGGATTTTCGGAAGATCTTATGGTTTTCAGGGGGGAAAAGAGGGGGATTAGTCGGTGTCAACAGAGTAAAA